GACAATTCAACACCAAAGGAGGGTGGGGCCAATGAAACTGGACCTCCAGTAGGACAGATGACTGTCGGTGTCCGTGCATCCTCCTCCCCAGCACCCCCTAAATGGACTTCCGCCGCCTCATTAACCTGTGGTTATCGGTAAAGCTATGTAACCCGGGGGAGATGGAGCTGAGGGGGGACGGGAAGAGACTGTTCTTCAGTGTGCTTGGAGAGATCTCCTCCATCTTGTACGAGATGGAGTGGAAGTACTGGGGCGTGAGTTTGGCGGTGAAGGAGTTCTGGTGGGCGGCCGGGCGGTACTCGTGTGAGCGGTAGCACGTGCAGGAGCACACAGACTGCAGGTCCGTCACGTCCGCCTTGTACCTCGGCCGGCCCGGCTGCGCTTCCTCCTGGATGTGAATGACCATGCTGTTGCGGGTGCCGGCCAGCGAAGCCCGCTCCTCCGCGTCCCGCCGCTCATCCTCGCTGTTCATGGTCAAGAACCGGAGGACCACCAGGTTGAGGAAGGCCCCGATGACCGTCAGCCCCACCAAGATATACATAAAGCTAAAGGCCACGTAGAGTGGTTTCTTCTGAAGGGCGCCCTTGGTCTGCAGGGCCACGTAGTCCCCGAACCCGATGGTAGTCAAGGTAATGAAGCAGTAGTAGTAGGCGTGGAAGAAACTCCACTCCTCGCACTGGGAGAAGGCAGCAGCCCCGATGCACAGCGTCCCCATGCAGGAGAAGAAGCCCACGGTCACCATGTTCTCCATGGACACGTCGGTGTCGCGCATGCCGCAGCACTTCTTGATGCGCTTCAGCAGGTAGCGCACGAAGGTGTTCATCCGCTCGCCCAGGCTCTGGAACATGACCAGCGTCAGCGGGATGCCCAGCACGGCGTAGAACATGCAGAAGGCCTTGCCGGCATCCGTGCCGGGGGCGGCGTGCCCATAGCCTGCAGGGGACCGAGAGAGAGAAGGAGAAGACCCAGTGAGGATGCGTCCCGTGAGGTTTGGGGTGGAGGTGGGCATGGAGCATCTCATTTGGGAAGGGACAGGGGACAGTTCAGTAGGGGGTGGGCTTTGGGACTATCTGTGGACAGGGGGTTCATGGAGCTTCAGTAGGGGAGGGGGCTGGAGAACTCCAGTGGAATCGAATCTGGGAAAGTTCTGCTGAGAAGGAGTTGGGGGACCTCCATGCTGAAGCGGGCAGGTCAGGGAGCAGAGGAAGAGGGGTCCCGAAGAGCTGAAGGGAAAGAAAACCCGTCAATGCAGAGAAAACACCTTTCTGGAAGGAACGTGAACTCCAGAGAGCCTCCAATTCTAGGAAATGCAGGGTATTTGACTCAGACCAGACAGCAAGGAAGCCCAAGGCATTGAGTGATTCCCACCTGGAGCACAGGGCAGAATGGCTTTATAGGATCTCCAGGACTGTAAACAGTGACGAGATCAGAAAACCTCATTTTCCCCCCCTAAGTGGTTGGTGGGTTAGAACCACCAACCTTGCTGGTAGCAGCCCAACACAACGCACCCACCACACCACCAGGGTTCCTTTCATCAGGGCAGAGGGACCCCCACAAAAAAAACCCTAAAGAAGGTTCTCTTGGCAAAAGGGAAGTGACCCCCTAAGCCTTAAGGCCTAAGGAAACATAAGCCCACACATCAGGCAGACACAAGAGATGCAGGGGCAGGACTCCTATTCAAGCCTCATGGACTCACCTGCTGTACCAGTTACAGACTCCATCAACTTGTGAAAGGGTGAAGTCTAACCTGTCAATCAGGTCGCAGCTTGATGACCTCATTTGGATGTGCTATGGAGATAAATAGCTCACTGGAGGCCAGACACACTCTCTGCTTGGTATTCCTGATGACAAGTCACATGCAGCTACACGGATGGAAGCCAGAGCTCAGGAGCTGGAGGAGCCAAGTGGAGACCCATGCCAGCACTGAGATGCTTCCATCACCACTGGATCCACAAGACTTCCCACCCACTGGCCTGTCATCTTCCTGCAGTCAGTGTCATTGCATGTGTTGCATGAGTCTGAAGAAGAAATTATAGACTGGTATCGGACACATAAGCTGATATCAGACTTACGGACTTGATCTGGACTGGGTTGGGATGTTTTCTTAATATATAATTACTCTTTGAGATAGTTAATGTTTATTGTGCCCACCTGACCAGTAAACACATGTGGGGTTGAGTGAAGGGCGGAGAGATAAATGGCTCGGTGGACCTTGCCTTTCTAGTTCTCAGGTCTCAGGTCTCTTGCTTTGTGATGGTCGGACCAGGTGCAGCTGCCTTAGTCAGTTCCCTGCTTCAACTTGCAATGCTCACTTCCTGCAAGACATCCCCAGGAGAAGCTGCATGGACCTACCCTGATGCAGCTCTGGATGCTGGAGCATCTATGTGGAGACCCCTGCCAACGCTGAGATGCTTGCACATTCACTGATCCATCTTTCCTCCTGCAGTCAGCGGCATTGCATGTGTTTTGTGAGATGAAGGAGGACTTTGTGGATTGGTGTCGGACATATGGGTTAATATTGGACTTGTGGGCTTGGGCAGCACTGGGTTAGGATATTTTCTTGATGTGCACTTACCCTTTATATAAAACTCTCTCTTATACATATGAGTTTCTGTGGATTTGTTTCTCTAATGTACCCAGACTAACACATTCTTTGATATAAAGCTCTCTCTTATACACATATGAGTGTCTTTGGATTTGTTTCTCAACTCAGACTAACAACACCTGCATCGTGGATGCAAAGGCCAGGTGGGTGAAGTAGAATCTCAGCGGATTATTGGGAAATGTTATCATGTGGGGAAGCTAACAGCCACAAGAGGGGTCTATTGACTGGAGGAAATAAACACTGGGTTTTCTGATTCAACAATAGCATCAGGGTCTCCCCAGATCCTCGCTCCTGACAGTACAGGTAAGCAGAAGCACCTTGATTTTGTGTGACCTGGATGGCAGTATGTGTCCGAGCTATGCTGATTCCCCTGCTGTGGCTCACAATACCACCTGGCAGTTCTCACTGTGCACCTCACGGACCCATTGCACTGACCCATTGTGCTTCCTTATAAAGGCACGTGCATGAGTGTGTGCAAGGTGATCGCACCAGAATCTGCTGGCTCCCCATCGGGGAAGTCTCTAGAGCTTCAGAGGTCTGGGGTGTGCGCCGCTCCCCATAATGGGGAGAGGCAAGTTGCTCAGGCTTGCCATGTGCCCCAGGAGAAAGAAGACTGTGCTGGGTTCCTGTTTTCACCTCTATCCCCTCTGTCCATCATTACCACCCTGGGAGGTTGGCCCACCTGTGGGAGGCCTACCTGTGTCCATCGGTTTCCTGCTGGGGTTGCCCAGTAGGTAGCCCCAGTAGGAGACCAGAGGAAGGAAAAAACAGGGGGGGCTGGCAGATAGTCGTATCCATCTACTGAATGCCAAGACTCAACAAAACCTGCTCCCCAGTGTGGCACCAGCCATCCGTTGCAATGGCTGTCCACTGCCACTCCTCCTGGGGTGGCCACATCCTGCGTTGTGGCTTTCCTATAAACTTGTGCACGTCTTCAAGGAAAGTTTGTGAATGGCCCATTTCATGATGATTCTGAGTGCCAAGTGATTCGCTGCAAGGCCTTTAAGGGACTGCTCCTGCGTGCAGGTGGTCTCTGACTCAGGGTGGGGCTCTAGCCACAGAGAGGCTATGGGTGGGAGTGGACAGCATCCTCTTTCTCCCACAGGTGTGGGCTTCAGTGACCAACTGTGCAGCAGCCTGCAGCCTGGCGCTTAACCCCCTGGATCATCCACTGAGAAAAATGTACACCTCCACACTCACCTGTGCAAAAAATAAAATAAAATAAACAGGAAGTCATACATGTTTTTCGTTTTGTAACTCAAAGCCATCCTAAGGGGGGCAGAGGGGATGACTGTTAAGTGCTGGACTCCTAGCCAAAGGCTGGATGTCTGATTCCACCCAGAGGCCTCTCCAATGGCCACAGCCTAGAACAACCTGCAGGCAAATCTGCCGTGCACACACGGGATCCCCACAAGCTGGGATCCCACCAATGACGGTGAGCAGCAGCGTCCTCCGCACTGTCTATATTTGCCCATGATGTCGCCCTGTAGGCACGCACCAATTCAAGCCCCTCACTGCCGTTGAGTCCACCCCAACTTGTCATGCCTCTGTGGGGTAGTCAAACTCCCCCTGTGGGTTTCTGAGACTGTAACACTTTGCAGGGGTAGAAAGCCTCATCTTTCTCCCAAGGAGCGGCTGGTGGTTTCGAACTGCCTGGTGTCCATCCATGGCACCACAAGGGGTCCTTATTACATATGCAGAGGATTTCCCGAGTAGCCATTTGAAACATAGTGGCATCTAGGGGATGCCCAAAGCCCTCCCAGGAACCTGGGTACAGCCCCTCGAGGAGGCTCAGACTGCCACGTTGGCATGGTGGAGCTCAAAGACCGATCACAGCATTAGTTAGGTTGATGGAAACACTGCCTTTAAAACCCTACAGACTTAGATAAAGGATGTGTTGACCAGTAATAGCTGGTCCACATTTTAAACAAAAACAATAAGTACAGCTATAAGGTCATAAAGGCGGAAATGAAACTCAAATTGTGCCCCTTGTCAATGTTCTTTGAGTCTGGGGTACAAAAGGCATCCGCGGAGAGGGAGGGGATGGAGGCAGGGTGGTGGGGTGAGGTCTCCCTGCCGAGCACCCTAGGAGCATCCTCACTGCCCTCCAAGAATGACCCCGTGCCTGGTCAGGATGGAAAGCCGTCCTGGGGTGCAGCTTTCTTGGACTTTTCCTCATCAACACAGCCTTCAATTCTCTTTTCTCTCATGTCAGTTTTGTTTCCTTGACCTCCTCCTCCCTCCCCTTCAATCTTCAAACAACGTCTTTCTTAGGAAGCCCCTATGAGCATGTCACATCATTTGAGAAAATCTACCCAAGGACCCTTCGTCTCCTGAGCTGACCCTTCTCTGCCCTGCGTCTAACGGGCTGGCTGGTCCCGTCAGAAGCCACTCTTCTGACTGGACTGTCTTTTCCTCATGTGCAGGTACCCTCTGGGCACTAAGACACACAGACCAGATCCTTTCCAAAAGTCTAGGGGAGAAACAGAATGCAAGGATACTGGGGTTTTCCCTTCAACGATTTGAAGCCCCGTTGTATGACTAAGAGAATGTGCCTGTCCAGTCCGCTGCTCGCAAAGCCATGTTTAGCACGTGTTGTTGGAATAAACTCCCTGTTTGGAATACCCACTAGAAGGCAATGCAGTGCAGTCATATAAGAATGACTCCCAGGAAGGAAGAGGTAAAACCATCATTATTTGCAGACAATATAATTTCATACATCGAAAATCCCCGAAACTCCACAAGTGGAGTGCTGGAAGAGATAGAGGAATATGGCAGAGTGGCAGGATACAAGCTCAACAAACAGAAGTCTATCGGACTGCTCTACACACTGGACAAAATCACAGAAGAGGCAATTAAAAGGGTAGTACCCTTTACAAGAGCCACGCACAAATTGAATATCTAGGGATATACCTGACTCAAAAAAGGAAAGATTTATACGAGGAAAACTACAGGACACTATTAAAAGAAACCAAGAGTGACCTCAACAAATGGAAAAATATCCCATGATCCTGGATTGGAAGACTCAATATAGTCAAGATGTCAGTTCTGCCCAATGCACTATATAAGTTTAATGCTATCCTGATACGAATGTCATCACCCTCCTTCAGATAATTGGAAAAACGGATTGCCACTTCATATGGAGTGGGAAGAAGCCCAGAATTGGCAGAGAACTCAAAAAGAAGGACACAATGGGAGGGTTTGCTCTACCTGACTTTAGCATGGATTTATATGGTCACAGTGGTCAAAACAGTGTAGTACTAGTATAACAACAGATATTAAGACCAATGGAAAAGAGCTGAAGACCCACAATTAAAAATATCAGCCTACAGGCAACTGATTTTGATAAGGGCCCAAAAAATATCAAATGGGAAGCAAATGCCCTCTTACCTCACTCCATGCAC